GGGCTGTGGGTGTGGAGGTCTGATGTAGATCCAGACACAAGATTACTTCAGGAAAACAATCTCAAAATATAGCAATTTTCTAGTTTTACAATAAGTTGTATAAAATTCTAAAACTGTATAAATGACTTTTGTGATTTTTTTAGTCAGAACCAACTAAGCTTCAGAAAATAAATGCCAAAGAAAAATTATATATGTACATAGAAGTGTCATAAATATTCATATGAAGGTATATGTATGTGTGTGTGTACATACATACCAAAAGTCAATTGGCTAAAAATAATGCCTTGTTCTCTTCATTGAGATGTCAGTTTCTGACCTCCCTCCCACAGCATTCACAAGAATTATAATTTACTTCAGTATTCTGCATTTTTTTACTGAAATTCCACATTAAATCTCTTGTAATTGAGCCTGTGATGGAATTATTATTACAGTCTATACATTTTTATTTTTCACTTTATAGTCTACAGTATTTTCTAACATTTAACTTCTATATTTCTCTACAACATGGATTCAGGTACATTTTTTATTTGCAAGTCAAATGTTCCTTTGCTCTTATGAAAGTGACATTTGTTTTATACTCTTGGAGCTGTTTTGTACTGCACTTAGCAGGAAAACTGCAAAACTTGACAGACACTTTCAGTATTTAATTTTTCAAGTTATAAGCCAAAGAAAAACAATAATAAATTTCAGTAAGTGTACTTATATGGAAAAATTAGAATTGAAAATGGGTTTTCTCATCCAATATATTAGTCATATGTCAAGGTATTTAAATAAACCTGAATTCACACCATAGGAGCTTTCTTCTTTGAGGAATAAAGAAGATGGTAATATTCTTTTTCACCTCTCTCCCTGAAATTACCCAGGTTTTTTAAAAGTATAAGTTGAAAAAAATTGAATGTCTACTCAGATTTTCCATAAAAAAAAATAAAAATCCCTGTTTCCAGTAAGACTCTGTTGGTCCTTAAAGATGAATGGCACATATTCATCAAGAAAAATACTGCAACATCTTGGGGAACTCTCCAGTTCAGTGGTTACCAAAATTGTCGAATCATAACAGTCATGAGGAGAGCTTGTTCAAAAATGCAGATTTCTGGGCCCTGCCTTAGACTCTCTGTAGAGGAGCTGGGAATCTAAATGTTTACAGAGACCCCAGCTAATTTGAATAATTAACAAGTCTGAGAAAGATGACTCTAATTGGTGCCAAAACCAAAATTGAATTTTTGAAAATTAGTTTTGTAGTTTTCTAGTCAGAATGGAATTTATTATAATTCTCTAGGACTTTGGCCTCTAATTGGTCAG